TATTAATTGAAGACGCGTGATCACACATAAATTATTGGTAGAAATTATTCGTACAATTTTGCCATTGCAAAATTCAATCCTTGTTTGGTTTAGGGTCCGTTTGATTGTAAAGATAGAAAATTGGTGGAAAAAAAATGTTTTGCTAGGGATTGAATTGCTTAAAATTTGTTTTACTAGGTTTTGTAATTAATTATGTTTGATTGATATAATTTTTCACCTGAAAAATGTTGAAAGTTTGGTGCCCGTTTGACTTTGTTTTTCATGAAAAATTGTACATTAAAGTGATGATTTCTTTTATCATTGTGTCTAAAATTTGTTTCACTTGCCAAAAATTTTTTTTTAAAAATTATCTTCATACTAAATATCATTTGTTTAGCTTTATTTTGTATGAAAATTGTCAATAAAAGTGATAATTTTTTTTACCATTGGGTCTAGAATTTTTCACAATTACCAAAAAAAAAAAAATTGGAAAATGAAAACCCACCTAAAAGGTGTGAAAGCAATTTCAACAAAATCAAGGAAAATTTGTACGTGTGAGAGAAAGTGGAAAAAAAAAAAATTCCATGAAAAATTTCTATTATCAAACAAGGCAAAAGTTAGAAAATAGAAAAAGAATTCCTAGTTCTATGGAAAATTAAAATTAAGGGTATCAAACAATCACAAAGTCTCACTCTTACAACCATTAATTTCACCACTAACCCACCTCTCTCCTTCAATATCAATTTATGTCTTTTTTTGCTTCTTAAAAAAAATTCTGTTTGGTTCTAATAAATTTCAATTACAGTTTAGTGTTGCATTTCTTTTTAGTTTTAGTTTATGGATGGTTTGAAAGTATTTAAAAAAAAAAAAAAAACTTCCAATACCATGACAAGAGTAATTTTACGAAGAATGTCAATCTCGTAGAAGTTGGAATTTGACCGTGGAGATGAGAAGGAAGACAAGGAAGCTAAATTTAAGGAAAGAATATTGTACTCTCAAAACTAAATTTCAATTATTCAATTTTTTTGTGATAATGAAATACTACAAATGAACAAACTTTTTTATATTACAATTTGTATATAAAAATTAATTGCTAATACATGAATTTAAATACATATTAAAATTTCTAGATACATGAATAGAAACAGATTAATTCATAACAACTCCAAATTTATGTAGATCAATATTCATTGAATTTAGATTAATGTCAGTGTTAATTAATTGAGAATTAATAACACGAAATTTTTGTAATATTATTACATAATGAAAAAAAAAATTAAGGTATTATTAAAATAATTGAATTATAACATGATTAGAATCGTCCAAAAAATGATTCTCGCTTGATATGATAATTAATATATTATAGATTCATGAATGGCATTTTCATCTAGATGCTCCGCTCGAAATGTAAAGAAATACTCGAAGATACATATTATGAGATGTTTTGGTTAAACTCACAAATTACTTCTAAGTTTTAGAGTAAACACATACTCTATCGATCAAATTATAAAGTGAGTTTTTTTTTTCCTACTAAAAATAAGAATTTGTGTCGAAATATATAATTTTTTGTTTAGGAGTTATTTGACAAAGTTTTTAATAAAAGTTTTAGCGAATTTTGATAGAAATTGATGAAATGGTTGTTTGACAGGAATTTTGCTTCTCGTGAAAGAGTTTCCTGAGAAAAGTTTTGAAAACTAATTTTTTTAAAAAAAAACTTCTTCTTTCAGAAGAGCTTTTAGAGTAAGCCGCGTATAAGGCATGTTCCAATACGTGGCTAAAATTAATGGTTGACTTTAACATCAAAACACGAAAAAAAAAGGCGCACGTTATGGCAAACGGTCCCTTATTTTGTCGGATTATTGACCTGTTGAAAAAAACATGCCAACTTTGCCAAGTGTGAATTATTCAATAGAAAAAGGCGCACGCTATAAATATGCATCCACCATTTCATTTTTTTCTTGCAGCTCTACTGTTCTGTACTAAACTCTCAACCTTATCTCTTCCGTCTGCTCTGCTGCACAAATTTACACCTTCATAAACATATACACACAATAACACTCATCCAATGCTCGCGCATTTATGGTAATTTTCAAAAAATTGTGTTATTTCGAATGTTGCCAATAAACCCTAGTTCAATTTTCCACCTCCCAAAACCACTGCCGGCATTCCCCAATCTCTGCCCTCCTTCTCCACCGACCACCGCCTTCCGCTGTCGAGCGACCGCAAAGAACACGTTCCCTCTATGGTTGTTCAATTTGACTGCCGTTTCCGACGCCGCTGGCAGAATTGGAGAAAGATTGTCCGATAATATTGGTGCCACCACTACGAGCAACAATAATAGCAAGCACACGAAAATAAATGCGAAAGAGAAGTGGTCGAGCGACAGTGAGAGCTACTTGACTAACGATGGAGATGCCCTGCCTCTCCCGATGACCTACCCGGGCTCCTCCCCCGTGTCGCCGGAGGAAATCGACAAGAGGCTCCGGTGCGAGCCCGAAATAGAGGTCAGTTTTGAGTTTTTCTCTAAGTAGACTGTATGTTATCCGATATTTACAATTTAGGAAAAAGTTCCTTTTTGTCGTTTGGTTATCAACTGAAACCTGTTAGTATGTATCCTGTTTCTAAAGATGATTGTGTATTATGTTTTCAAACTGGTGGATTATGAATAAACACTTGACTCTTTTGATGTTTCATTGTTCTTTTAATTGAAAATGATGATGTTCTATCAGGAAGAGGAACTCTATCAATTGTTTTTGATTCAAACTACTAGAAAGCTAATCTCGTTGTTGAAAACATTAGGTTTTATGCAGCTTTACGAGTGAAGCTCTGTAGTACTGATGTTTGAAAAGTCAACTGTGCTTAAACTTATGCTTTTCAATCTCCTATATTTTTTCTACAACCAAAGATTTTCAAAATTCTTTGGCTCTGATATATTATGATGTTTAAATTGATGTGCTTCCAGTTGGATCAGGTTTTTCGTTCTAAATTTTATTGAATTCCTTTTGCTATGAAATTGCAGGATTGCAAGCCAATGGTTTATGAATGGACTGGAATATGTCGGGGCTGCCAAGGAACTGGACTAGTCAGCTATTATAACAAAAGAGGGAAGGAGACCATCTGCAAATGCATACCTTGCATGGGCATTGGTACTACTTTCCCTTACCTCTTAGTTTGGGTATTTAATTGATCTATTTGGGGAGTGAACATAATTGTGTAACTGATGGACCTGACTGTTCTGTTTTGCATATTCTTTTCCTCCATGGTATGTATTGTCATCCAAAGAGGAGGCACAAGCCTGTAGTCTTGTCAATTTTGACACCATTGAGATTTTAGTGAGGGCAGAAGATTATAACTGTAGTCTTCTGCTTGGTAAGGTGACCTGAATTTCTTTAGGAGATTGATTTGAAATCCCAGAGCTTATAAATTGTTCTTAATGCTGTGCCGAATATTCACTCTTCAATGCCGAAGTGTAGTGTTCTAATGAGTCAGATTTCAGTTAGTTTATCGGAAATTTATTGATTGCTTGTGTTGGGTGTCTGATTACATTTTGTGCATAATGGATTGTCTGACTTCATAAATTTTACATGTGCGAGTTCTCTGAGACAAGCACTTTTGTTTTTGTTAAAAAGAGAAATCTTTGTGTCTCCTTAAGATTGATGACTTCATGACACTCTAAGCAAGGATTGGTGACACGGAACTTGTGCTTAAAAGGGGGGGTGGTGGGGGGCCTAAATTTTATTTATGGAAGGATTTCATGTCATTTTGGCTCAGCCTTTTGTTTTGTCTCGTGTCAGTATGCTGCTAATACTTTATTCTCTACATTTTATTACCTTTTTTTATTATCAATAGTGTTTCAACCATTTAATAATATGTTGGACATGTGCTCTTCCCATCATTCATGGCCTGTATTTTGGTTCATATTATGTTTACTTAGAATCTTGGTGTAGAATAATCTTTACTGGACAGATTCTAAACATTTAAGTTTCCTCTACCTAGGCCTTGGTCTAGTAGGATAACTGTTTTAGGTCTGTCAATATTTATGCCATCTCTTTGTTTTAATTGACTAGATCGTTAAGACCATTGGAGATTGTATAGAGGGATTTGTCCAACCCCTGTGAGAGTGATTGTGCTTCTCTCCTCTCATTTATTCCTTCTCCTCCTCTCATCAGATTTAACTGTTCTGGAGTACCCAAAACCAGCCCAAAATCATTCATTCTCCGACTCTTTAATAAGTCAAATCTTCATCCATCCGTTGCCTCACATATTTAACTTGGAACCTAAAAATTTCATCTTGTTCTCCTCTGAAATTGGTTAAAGCCTTGACTATCTCTCTCTATTTATTTATTTATTTATTAAAATTCTCCTATCAGAATCAAATTTTGGTTTAGATCACAAGAGAGTTAGGCCCGAAAGGTTATCCTGCATGAACTTCTTGAAAGATTGATAAATCTATTTATTGATTGGTGAATATATGTTGGAGAAGGGACTCATTAGAAATGAAAACATCTCAAAAATGCGTGTGTGGGATGGGATGGGGGTGGGGATCAACCAATTCCTCTTCTAAATTGAAATCCCCACTTTCTAGTTTTGAAGCTGCCCATGATACTATAGAACAATTTAATATTGAAGAATCAAGAGATCATAAAAAAGAACATGAGTTAAAATTATTCAAGAGTATGAAGCAGTTCAACATTCTTCGTTTTAGATTAGACATAGTAGTTTCCATTATTGCGTCATATTGGTTCAATGTAAGCTCTTCTAGTTATTGAACCTAAAATGCAACACTCGTGCCATGGAAGTTCCCTCAAAACTCAAACGAACTTACCAATTCCATACACCTGTGCACATTTTTAGTGGTTCAAAATTGAGAATGTTTCAAATTAATGATTTATTAATTCTACCACAGCTAGTTTGAATTGACGCACTTCTTTAGCTGCAGGTAGTAGTCTGATTTGCGAAATCTGTGTCATCTTCTTCCGTTAGTTATCTGGCTGTAGACCTCAATCACAATGCCGACATATCTGTCTTTGCAGGATATGTGCAGAAAATAACAGCACGCACTGATATTGATGTGATGGAGGACTTGGATAGTAATGGAAAACCACCTTGATGTAGATGCCATTTTTACTTGTAACCTTTCAGATGTGAACCAGTCTTGTAGTTGCACCATTGAGGAGTCGATCGAATTTTTTTTGACATTACTATCTCAAGAAATACGGATGAAATATTTTTAATGACAAATACAAGTGCATTATGCCTTGTCCTAGAACTGATAATAATAATGTATTCTTTCAGTTACCTCTTTTTTTCGTTAGGGTCCGTTTGATTGTAAAGGTGGAAAATGGGTAGAAATAAAATGTTTTACAGGGAATTGAATTGCCTAAAAATTGTTTTATTGAGAATTTTAATTAATTATGTTTGATTGGTATAATTTTCCACATGGAATATGTTGAAAGTTTGGTATCCGTTTGACTTCGTTTTTCATGGAAAGTGCCCATTAAAGTGATAATTTTTTCTACCATTGGGTCTAGAATTTGTTTCAACTGTAAGAAAGTAAAAAAAAAAAAAATTAATTTTTTTTAAAAATTGCTATACTAAATATCATTCGTTTGGCTTTGTTTTGCATGGAAATTGTCAATAAAAGTGAAATTTTTTTTTTTACAATAGTTGATAGAATTTGTTTCCATTGCTAAAAAAAAAGTTGGAAAATGAAAAACCACCAAAACCAAATGAAAATCATTTCCATGAATTCAAGGAAAAGAGGCACGTGAAGGCCTCATGTGGAAAAGCAATTCCTAGGAAAACTTAGATATCAAACACCACAATTTGAGGAAAATGGAAAACATTTTCCTTCTTCCATGAAATTCCTTAGCTATCAAACATAGCCTAGTGAAATGGTTTTTGGATTCTGTTATGTATTATCTTCTTTACGTGTTAGACATGTTTTCCATTGTAATTGAGTTACTATTTGCTTCAGATCAAAGGAAGCTGAATGAGAATAATACTGCTGGAAATTTTGAATAATTCACAGAAACCATACTCGTCAACGCAGCACTTGTAAGGTGCATTTTTGGTCATTATTGGGTCAAAAACCATTGAAAAATTGCCAAATGTTGTTCTATGAAAATTCTGTCAAGTTTTTCTTGTACATGTAAGCATAACTGGGAAATTTTCTGTACAAACAAATGAAAATGATTGCACTTATGAATATATTATACAATAGCTATGTGCGTGAGAGAAGAAAAAAATAACCAAGTCCATATTACGTAGAAGAAAATAGAGTAGCAATACAATTTCACAAATCCAGAAAAAACTCTTTTAGTTTTTAACTGAAGGAACTTTACAAGCTAAAAAGGCTGATGGGAGGTGAAACTAGTGGCTAACTGGCAGAAGTTTGAACTGTTACAACTGAGCCAACAAGTTCCACAAAAGAAACTTGCAATCCCTTAAACAAGGAAGGATGTTCGTCTCTACTCTCTGGACAAACGTTTTACCAAATATTGGCGACAATATCTCGATGGCATTGAAAGCTTCTTGGTCATCTTAGAGATATAATCATTAAACCATGTGTTGGGAGAATCACCAATAGTCATTACAAGAGCATTTTCCATCCTTGAAATGATGAAACCGCTTGTTATCTCTGACAATTAATTCCCTCCCAACAATCCTGGACATGATCTTGATAGCATTGTGACAATCACCACAGACTCGTAAGTTTTTAATGATCCGAAGAGGTGTCCTTGCAGGAGTGCTAATCAGACCGTATGCAATTGCTAAACGCTCACTATGGTAAAGTAGTGCCTGTTCCTTTGCCTCCTGGTCAATGTCATGAAGGACATACCTGGTGTCGGGCACATAAGCTTGCTCTTTCATCGCGGCCCTCAACTTCTCATCATCCTTGTAGAGTGTGGGGTTACGGAACTCCAGAATCCTGTTCCTCCCAATTAGCATATTAATTGCAGAATGCTTCTTTGGTGGAGGAGTGGGGATCTTATTGGCAACAGCCTTTAAAGGATCAAGACTGACCATCAATTCTTCAGCTCGGTCTTCAAGGTCAATATCCCCGTGTATACGAGCATAGTTCATTAAAGCTTCCCAAATGTCAGCTGTGGGTTCAAACGGAAGAGTTTCAATAAAAGCTTCCGCCTCAGCAAGATGTCCGATCTTCCCAAGGACACCAAGAAGTCCCAGATAATGTTCGAGCCCAGGAGAAATTCCATAATCAAACTTCATCGATTCAAAATGTATGAAACCCTCTTCAATAGCTTCGGCACTAGCACAGGCCTCTAAAACAGCAAGAAAAGTTTCCCCACTTGGCTGTAACCCCAACTTTCTCATCTGCTCAAACAAAGCCAACCCATCATCACCCAGCCCGTTCGCTGCATACCCATAAATCATCAAGTGCCAAGAATCCATATTCCGATCAGGCATGTGATCAAAAACTCTCCGGGCATCTGTCATGCTTCCACATTTTGAGTACATGTCAAGCACCTGATTGTTCAACAGAAGATCGCCCCTAAAGGTCGACCGCAAGAAGTAATCGTGCACTTTTTTTGCATCCTCTAATTTTTTCAAATTCCCACACAAATTAAATAACAAGCTAAAACACTCAGCATCGGCTCTCACCGCATTCTCCATGTGTTCAATTACATCTTTAACCTTACCCTCACGGCACAGACTCAATAAATCAACAACTTGACTATTCGCAGCATTCTGATCATGTGGAGTGGGGTTTTGCATTTGTAAATACCCCTGATTATGATTTCCACCTCCAGGATGAGGATAATTCTGCGACTGACGAAAGTTTTGGGGAGAACCCCGATTCTGAAATCCACCTTGTCTAGGATAATTTTGGCTCAAATTAGGGTTTTGGTTTTGTGGGTACTGCTTATTTTGATTGTTTTCGTTCCACTGGTTAACGTTACCACTCGCTGGTCGATTGTTCTGATTCTGAGGATGGGAAAAATTGGGGGTCGGGTTAGGAACTCCAGGATTCAGGTATCCCTGACCAGGATTCGGATTGCCCCGATTCATACTATAATTATTCGCATAACTTTGATCTTTATAATTACTGTTCGGACTGGGATTTCCAAAATCACTGTTCTTCCACTGATTGTCAGGGCTTTGATTAAAACTCCATGAAGGATCGGAGGGTTGAGGGCTTGACCTCTGAAAACTCTCTGAGAAAGCTGAGGTGGAGAGGGTTCTGAGGGTCCGGAATGAGGGATACAGTTTTACTGTTTTGAGGATAGAAATGAAGGGGTAAAAAAGGCGTACCTTATTGAATGAGAAATTGGCAATGGTGCAAAATGGAGCTCTACGAATGGACACTAGAGAAGACGCCATTTTTTCTCTGCAAATTATTGCTTAAACCCTAGACAGACAGTAGGAACTGGAAAAACCCTACTAGTTAAATATCTGCGTGCATATCAAGATGAAGAGGAGCCTATTTGCCCAATTCACCAATCAGATACCGGGTTGAATTTTGGCTTGTAAATGAAATACGGGTTCTCTCTCTCTCTCTTCCAAATGTTGGAACAGGAGGAAATTGTTTATTTTAACTCGAAAATGAATTATTAATTAATTAAACTGAAAAATTACCTGTTACCCATAGGCCATAGCTAATTTAACTTAGATTTTTATCTTTCTATGGCTTCGTTTTCTTAACTTATTTCATTTTTTTTAAAAGTATTTACACAATATTGTCCTAATTATTTAAGTTCGTGTCGTGCGCAGGTTAAACGTAGCAAAATTTTTGAACAATTATCGTCTTGTCAAAAATTGAAAGGTCAACAATAATATCATGAGTAGAATACATAAGCTTAAAAAGAAAAG